CACACCCACACACACACACACACACACACACACACACACACACGATTTAAAGGGGTTGGCTGTGTCGTCATGGCGATCATCTCGTCCTGGCCAGCTGCCAGCAGACACTTTCACTCTCCAACCCCGGCTCATGTTGCAGTGCATTGTGGGATGTCAGATCTAATCTATTCAACAGGACGCGCCTATGTGTGTATGAGAGTCTGTTTATGAGAGAGTGTATGAGTGTGTGTGTGTGTGTTCACAGTCACTGTAGTTCTTTTGTTCCAGTGTGTGTGTGTTTCCTGTTAGTGGGATCAAACACATTCCTCCACAGCGCAGGTTACAGACCCTCCGCCCACCTGTCGCTCTGACCCACCTGCCTGTGTGTCTGCTCTCAGATAAGTAAAGTTGATATATTAACTTTATAAAGTATTTTTTCTACAATACAGCATTATGTCATTTGCACTGTTTTATTTCGTAAAAGATGTTTAGACATTATTGGAGGAGAGTAGGACTTCAGGTTTTCATGCTAGGCTGTAGCGGTTTTGAAAAAGCTTTTAAATCTTACGAAATAAAAGTTCACAAACTACATTTAAAAAAAGTTTCTTTCAAGAAATTAGTATTTTAAAAACTAAGATTATAGAGTTGCGATTTGATGCTGAATCTTGCCGTGAAAAGACAATTAAAAACGAGCAAATTCCTAATCAGCACTAAATATTTTATGAAAAATGATTACAGCTAGACAACATGGAGGAGGTGAACTGAGCCGCAAGAGATGGCGTGTGTGTGTGTGTGTGTGTGTGTGTGTGTGTGTGTATGCGTGTGTGGATTGGGTCAAGGACGTGTGGATTGGGTCAAGGACATGTGACCCCTCCCCCAACATGTCCAATGACAGCAAACTCATTTCCCATGATGCCGAGTGTGTCAGTGGGTATTTGAGGGTTAAAAAAATACGCTGGTGTAAATCTCCCTAAAGTCCCTCAGCATGCGCACACCACACACACACACACACACACACACACACTATACACATGTGTAAGTGGTATATGATGTCAGCACGGGTCGAGTTACACCTCCGCCCCGGAGAAGAGAGGGCTGGAGGTCAGAGTGAGGTAATCCTCTATCGTCATAGCAACACTGGAAAAAAATGTCAGCTGAAATAAAATCCTGCTGAAAATTTGATCGGAATATTTCCAGGAAGCCATGAAAGATGATCTCCCTGTGGGTCGCAGAAACACTAACTATGCATTGATTAATCGTTTGAGCAGAGCCCAATGGGATGTCTTCAATCATCTTGTTTGGTACAGACAACAGGTAGAAAATGTTCAGTAACAAATTAGATTCAAGTGTGAAAAGCAGCAAATCCTCACATAAAAAGATAGCATTTTTACTTAAATATGACAGAAATGATTATCAAAGGCAGCTCTAAGGTCAGCTAATACGTGTGACATTTAGTAAGACTGTTTTGTAGAGTACGGTTTCCAAGTTCAAGGATTAGTCCCTATACAATTTCCAGTGCCACGATTTGCAGTTTTGTTTTAAGATAAAACCGTTTTGCCCTCCATATAAACACTAAGTAGATACATCCACTGTTCGCAATGTTTGTTTTGCAGCCACTTGTGTACCTAAAAGTATGCACAAAAGCTCTCAGTGTAAACAAACAGCCACAACAAACAGAAAGGAAGATAAACTATTTTATGTTAAGATTGTTTCCTTAAAAAATGTGTTTCTTCAGTGTTAACACAGCCTCTCATCTCAGACTCTCTGAAGCTCCAGAGGCGGCGTCCATCTTTCTGCTAATCACTCGTTTCTTCTCAGAACCCGCCCTCACTTCAACAGCAGCACCTGGGTGTGCACCAAATGTATCTTTATGAACAATCAAAACTTTAACAGGCTGTTCTCACACACTGTTCCAATCTGAACCTATCTGCGTCAAGTATTGCACTTATATGTCCAACAAAATCCATTTGTATCCATTGCGTAATAGTCAACTACTACTTTAACCCAGACGACTGAAAGCTGTTTCTGTCCCGATTGTTACGTAACTTAGGGACTTAAATCGCTTTCTAAAGCCAACCTTAATTTCCTGTTTAGACAGAAGTTTATTTTGAAAAGGGTGCATGCAGGTAAACATCGGGAATTGGCACATAGCGTGGGACATTTGTAGGAGAAAGCACGAAAAATGAAGCATAACTTTGTATATGAACGACAGAGAATACACACACACACACACACACATATACAGACACACACACACACACACACACACACAGCTGAAACAGACCCCTGATTCACCTTTAACTGAATCCATTTAGTCCGTTGTCCTTTGAACTCCATTGTCATGCATTTCCCATAATGCCAAGGAAGCTGGCCCTGCCCTGCACATCCTACACACACACGTACACACACACACACAGCAGATGGTGGTGTGCCGTCTGACCACATCTGGAAGCCTCAAACATTTCATCCATCAGGAATGTGAGCGTGCGCGCGTGTGTCCGTGTATGTCGCAGAGAAACGCCTTTGGTTACATGGAAATGAAATGGAGTTCTGCTGAAGGTCAACGTAGAGTGCATAATTGTGGCGTGTGTCTGTGTTGTTCCATCCGACAGTATAACGTAAACACATGTGGACAATACATCATATTACTTTTGCTGTCCAACAGACAGACGCACACACGTCTCAGTGTGATAAGTGTATGGACGTGACTAATAGACTCTAACCACTGAACGTGTGTGTGTGTGTGTCTCCGTGTGTGTGTGTGTGTGTGTGTGTGTGTGTGTGTGTGTGTGTGT